TTGGACAGAGCCTTGTGTGACATGGTTTAGTATGAGGTGCCCCTGCTCATGGCGGGGGTTGGAACTAGATGATCTTAAGGTCCTTTCCAACCCAAACCATTCTTTGATTCTTTGATTTTATGAATATTTGATGATTTTCTTCCTTGCAAAATCTTAAATGTAGGCCAGTTTGTCAGATGACTCAGCTCCTGCCATACTGATTCAGGTCTCACAGAGTACTTAAGATCTCTGAAGTTGTGTAGAATAACGTGACACAAAATCATACATTTTTTGATATGTGATTGTTATTTTCCATTCACTGTAGATTTATGCCTACATATTTGAGAATATCAGATCAGTTCAGTTGGAAGCTCTACTTCTCTCCTTGCTGAGCATTACAGTGCTTGTTCTTGTTAAGGAACTGAATGAGAAATTTCAGAAAAACGTTAAAGTTGTTCTTCCCATCGATCTCCTTTTGGTAAGTATAGAATCAAATATCAGACTTTTTTTGATTATGAAGATTTCAGGGGTTCAGCTGATATGCTGAACTTTACTGTGTTATCTACAGTTATCCACAGCCACGCTTGCTATTTATTAAATGGACAGCTAATTTTCATGGCTGTATGTTAACTGTAAGAACAGGGAAAAATTTGGCTAAATAGTTAAGAAAGAAATGACATACATTCCCAATTTATGTAATATTTTTCATGTGTTTATTACTTTTTACATAATCACAAGAACATGAACCCTAGAATGTTAAAGTTTAAGAAGTTTGAAATGGAAAATGAAAAGTAACTGGTACATTATAACTCCAGGCAAGTCTTGTGCTGTGTAGTTGTGGCTTAGATGTTGCTTGTTACTTGTCTTCAACAAGGTTAAATAGCTGTGGTATTGTTTTCTGTGGTTTTACTTACAGTTTTCCTTTCACACAGCATAGGCATGAATTTAGAAAACATGGCTGAAGAAGAACTATGGTGCCACTGACTGGCAAGGTTCCCAAGGCTTTACAGAGGCTTGTACAGATCCCTTTCATTAACATAGAATATACAATCTCCACCATAGTTCTTCTTCAGCAATCTTTTCTAAATTTATTATTGTGTCCAGATCTTAGTTTCTTTTGACTCTCTTCTACATTTGCAAAAAATTTCATAATAATACTTTCATGTCTTACTGGATCAGTCAAAGGACAAATGCATGAACACTTAGGTGTTCATGTGCTTAGGTATGGCAATAGCAGGGACCACATGAAAAACTAAAAGCAGTAGAAACATAACATCTTTTTCTCTGTTGAATCAATAGATAATTGCTACATCTGTTGCCTGCTACTATGCTGATATGGAATACACCTATGGGCTAGAAGTAGTGGGACATATTCCTGAAGGGTAATGTGTTTTTTAATAGCTTGTGGCTTTTATATATGTTTGTTTTTGAGAACGGTCTCTGAAGAGGTCAAAGAAGTTTTCTGAAATAAGGAATGGCAAAAACCTATTATGTTAATTTCCAGCCTCCTCAAATACTCTCTCACAATTGACCCCCATGTTAACAAAGTATATTTGCATAGATATCATTGTCAAAATACAGACTTTCTTGTACATTTTTCTAGCTTTTGTATTACTTTATGGAATAACAAATAGGTACTAAGTACCTGGTAATGGCTGATGGATGTATGACAGGAGGGCAGAGCACTCTCTACAAGATTATTGCAACCTGCTTTTGAGGGTTGCCTTGGGTTATTGTAGCAGGAAGGACTTGCAATGTGATCAGGCTTGTAGATTGCTACACTTTATTCTACATAGTAATTTTAGAAAATGTGATTCTTGAAGAAATATAAAGGATTTAGATATAGTTGATCTAGAAAAGAGATTCTGACTACATACAGTGATACATTTTTCTCCATGATCTTGAAGAGAAGGAAAAAATATACTTGAAATAACAAGCTGGAAAGAGAAATTAGACTAGATGTCAGTGAGAATGTTCAGACTCTAAGGGTTGGTAAGCACATCTTTTGTGTAATCTCCCCTTTGCAAATTGCAGGGTTTCCCTAAATTTCACAAAATGTAAGTCCCAGACAGCATCAGTGCATGTGTGTCAATTTACACTGATAGAAATAAAATAAAGGAAATTGCTGAGAAAAAAAATTGTTTTTAAGTATTTAGAGTATGCTATTACATGCTATGTATCTGAGACAAAAACAGGGCTAAGTGTGCCCTTTCAGTATATGTTATCAATAGTTACAGTGTACTCATGCAGCTTTATTCAAGAGCTTATTTTCTGCCTAACCTTTCATGAGAAGATTCTGTAGTTTGAAAAACAGGAGCAGAGCCTGTATCATTCTGATGTATTTTTAGTCATTTACTTGAAATATATAACTGCTTTGTCAGTGGAGAGCGCTAGAAATATTAAGAGCATGATTTGGCTCCTAGGCAGTATGGTTTGTACTCTTGAGAGAATGAAGTGTTTTTGTGGGGTACACAGACAAACTGGGATGGTTCGGTTCTTGACTGAGGCATTTCATTGCGGTGCCCGTTAGAAACTCTCTATTAGATGGAATAAATATCCACACTGTCCACAATCTACAGGAATACTAAATTGCTTAAAAGGTTTAAATTAAGTGTTACAGGAAAGCCAACTATAAAAAAGAAAAAAATATACAAAAGAGTCTCTTTTATCGAGCATTACAGATTTAGGGAATGGTTGCTTATTTTATCTGTTAGAAAGGGAGCTAATTTATAAAGATCCCTTCATATTCCTCAGATTAAAGTTTGCAAATGGAATAATCTATCTGAAACTGTTTCATCTTCTACAAATTCTCCTCTGCAGGACCTCACAGACCGAGGTCTTATTAATCTAAATTATTGAAAAATGTCACCTTACAAGTATCACAAAAATTAGCTGTGCATGCAAAGATAGTTTATCTTTTACCTTCATGAATTGCAGGTATATGCAAGCTACGTATCAGGCTTTTAAAAAAGGATTGTCTTTATTTTTTATAGGTTACCATCTCCAAAACCACCACCCATGAATGTTCTGCCTGAAGTAGTCACTGAAGCTTTTGGAGTAGCGCTGGTTGGTTACGTAGCATCACTAGCTCTTGCCCAAGACTCTGCTAAAAAATTTAAATACACTGTGGATGACAACCAGGTAAACCTCTTTCTTCTTACTGTCAGCAAGCCTTGAAATTACTTCACCATTTTGGAAATGTATTCTAGATGGATGCCCAGTAGGAAAGGGTATGATGTTCCATATGGCATCCTGAGGCCTTCCAGCGATTACAGTAAACCCCAAATCTAGTCCAAATTAGCTCTACAGAATGCTCAGGTCTCTAAAGTATTTTTCAGAATGAACACATAGGATCATGAATTTATGTTGATGCTTCAGAGCTGTGTTCTCTAGGGAGCAGAGGGAAAATGTTTTGAGCTTAACACAGGTCATACTTCAGGGAGATACGCAGCATTGTCTGAAGCGCACTACATGCAGTACAGCAACCTGCATGTCTTTCTGCACCTTTGGAAATCTTGTAGCTTACACAGCTTAATTACTGAGGTGTTGTAAACTAGGTGTAAGTCTGCATGGAATAATGGAGCCAAAGAGCAAATCCTACATGAGATAGAGACTACAGTGGCAGGATCTGGCTGTCTTGCATTCAGGAGCCAGGCACGGGGCTCTGCATGGTGGTATGTGGCTATATAAAGCTGTCTGGGGAGCTTTAAGGTAGTTCTGTCTTGTGCTGTGAAGACAAAGTTATGATCAGGTGTTGCCCTGGCTGGATACAGTACGATTTGTGTCCTAAGCACTTCTAGCAGTACTGAAGTCTTTTCTTACACATTACTCTCAGCAGACAAATGAAGTCCTTACAGGCTGGGGAGATGAATGATGCTGGGTAGCCAAGTTGGGGTGCTTTCTTAGGAAACATTCTTCAGATGGCTTTGCAGGTATAAGGTGGTTTCTCCACTTTTCTAACACCAAATGCACTTATAATGAAAGATAGTGTACAGATAGTATTGCTACCATATTTCACTTTCACTAAAGTATGCTCCAAAAGAAAGAAAATCAGTAGCTGTCTTCTTCCAGTAGAGTCATAATCCAGAAGCAACGTGGAGACCATCCAGATCCCACTGCTTGAGGCTGTGGCCTGTTAAAAAGCAGATGTGCATCAAGATGTAAATATTTTTGTTGAACTTAATCTTCAAAATTTAGCAATACCATTTATGCTGTGAACAAAATGTGCCTCCTGCTTTTGATGAATCTCAGCAGTTTTATCATTCAAATTAGTTTAGAGTTGTGAGAATATATATTCTATTGGGAGATCTTTTATCGTGTAGGTATGTGATTTTTTGCCCTCAAACGTCCTTTGTCATTGCTAATATTTACATAGGGGACTTTTCTGTTGGCAAGAAACATTGAAATGTCAGAAAAATAGGAAAAAACCATATTCTGTTTAACAACTTTGCAGGAATTTTTGGCTCATGGCCTCAGCAACGTGATTCCTTCATTTTTCTTTTGCATACCAAGTGCTGCAGCAATGGGACGGACGGCACTTCTGTACAGTACGGGCGCCAAAACTCAGGTAATGGGTTACAGTGAAGTATGTAGGAGAATTAAGGTTATGGTACTGCTCAATGGAACTTGTACTGATTTATCCATTATATTTTCCTATTCTCTTTTTTCCTCTGTTCTGGGAAATGATTCTGCCCTGTCATTTTTAACAATTTGCATAGAATTGTATCAGTTCAGCAACTGTCTTACTAGAAAAGCTAATGGTTATATTTATTAATTTCTACCCGTTTAATACAATCTGAACTCTAAAGGTTGTGGCAGTAAGGAGGTTAGGAGTTGTATTTTCAGGCTGCAAGAAACAACACACAAGCCTTTTCAATTTTATGTAAGATTTGTCAGCACTGTAACAAAAGTGCCCTCTAATGGTGTTTAATGGATTTAATGGTACAGGCTAATCTGAAGTTTTAGAAAAAGGTCGGATTTAATTCAGTGTTTCTACCTGATTTTAAAAATAAAGTGAAAGTAACCTTAAGAGATGTTCGTTTTAAAAAAACCCAAACAATTAATCTACTAACTTTTGCTTTGTGACACAATGTACTTGTCCTGTTCCTCAGTATATACTGAGCCCACAGATATGACACTTAGATTTTTGAGGATTTTGGGGGCTATTTCCTTCTGCTAACAACTAAACCCACAAGTTCTGTAGCTCAGAAAAGAGGCAACTGCAACTGAGAAAAATGATAACTGTGGCCCTGTGAGGCTGTTACCTGTTCAAATCATGTTCATGAACAAGAGAGGTAGCAAACTGCTGTGCTGTGACCTACATGTGTGATGGCACCATGTGGGCCACTGCAGCTGGGGCACCCCTGTGGAAGCCCCCTAAGCACTGCATCTCCCTCCTTCCTCAGAAACTCAAGGGATTCATCAGGGGCATTCTGCCATCTGAATGTTATGTTCTTTGGTGTTGCCATTGTCTTTTATAACTGTTGCTCTTGCAACATTAATTGCAAGGAAAAGGGTAATAATGTACAACTGGTAAAGCTAAGTGCAGTCTGTAGGTACTGTATCTTCTTGACCATATCCTGCAATTATTTCTCATGCAGATACCACAATTCTGAGAAATGATACAGGGCTTTATTTCAAAACTTTACATGTTCACTACTTGCTAATTAACCTACACAGTACTCTGAACTCAGTTAATCATAATTGGTATTTTATCTGATAATAATATTTAAAAGCATTTATATGCAAATATTTTAGCTACCACTTTGCTATTAGCTATTTCATGTCTTTGAGTTAGATTCAATGTCATACTCCATGCCCTCATCCTCACAGACATCTTCTGTCACTATTAATGTACTGATTGTCCAATTTGCAGTTGTACTGCACCGTGGCTTTTCCAAGGAAGCTTTAAAGTAATCCAAAGACCTATACCTGAAGACCAACAACCTGGAGGCATACAGGTTATGTGAGCACTTTGGCTCTGGTACATGTAGGCGAAGTCCCCAGTAGAAGTTTATTCAATATATGAAGTGAAAAAAGAAACCACCATAGTTTGATTTCAAAGTAGGAAGTACATGGTAAAAATAACATGTCTGCTTGATTTTATCCTTTGGTTTCACAGTATAGCAGAGCCTGCATCCAGAAGTTAGTGTGGCCATGCATTAGCACTGCTATGAGAGTACTTTAATAAACATAAAGTTCTCTCTCCTGCTTTATTTTTGGAAAGCAACACATCCACTTAATCCTCTACTTTCTGGGGTGTCTAGGCAGAATGAAGAGAAGAACATCACTAATAAATGTCAGTCAGATCATAAGCAAAAAGAAGGGTGAGAGGTTGCTTGGACTACACAGAAGTCAGTTTACTTTGGCAAAAAACACAATGACACAAAAGAAACACAAAGAGTCTTCCAGGGACTCACAGCAGCCCTTTTATTCTCCAAGGGCTATGCCTGAGATTAGGTGATGCTATTTATTCTTCAGTGATATATTCTCCTGGAAGAAAATAGAAATGAGGGAGTGTATCATAGAATCATAGAATAGTTAGGGTTGGAAATGTCCTTAAGATGACCTAGTTCCAACCCCGTTGCCATGGGCAGGGATGCCTCACCCTCTACCATGTCGCCCAAGGCTCAGTCCAACCTGAGCCTTGAACGCTGCCAGGGATTGAGCATTTACCACTTCTTTGGGCAACCTGTTCCAGTGCCTCACCACCCTCGCTGTAAAGATCATCATGGGCTAGAAGAGTCCTTCAAATAGAATCAACACTTCTTTTTTTTTCGTTTGGGAAAGCGGAAAGAGGAAAAAGTTCCTTGTGACTTCACCAACAGATTTTGTGTCCCTTTTCCTGTAAACATTCTGTCTATCCTTCTTGATGGTATTTTTAAGTGCATCATGGCATTTTCTAGTGTTTTAGCAACTTGTCTGGTTTTGTTTTTAACAACTTGTCTCTTAAAATGAAACCTAATTATTTTAGTAAAGAAACATCAATATAAAAATAAAGTGAGCATCTGTCTACTTATCATCAAAAACCTTCTGTGAATCTGGACTGTATCTTAATGAGACCAGAAGTACTCCACTTTGTGAGCAATCAAAGTGGGGTAGGAGACTGCAATTTTACTGTAGTTTTCCATCAGATTAATACCATGTAATACTATGAAGAGAAATATAATTCCTAGACCATATATTTTTCTGGATGCATGCCAACTGCATTAATTATAATTTTTATATATTAAAAAAAATGTTTCTACATTTTTTGAAGTCCACTGATAATAACAGGAAATCATTGGTGGTTTCTGCCTGAACACAATAGTTCCCTTTTAGTGTTGATCCCAGTAAAAGAAGTTAGAAATCTTCTCTTGTGCAAAAATGATGACAGTTCTCCACATATAACTTTTGCTCAGTGCTATGACAGGTCTGTTATTTATTGCAAGATAGGGTGTGTGGCTATAAATATGTTACAGAATGGGAGTGGGTGCTGCAAAACTTCAGGGATGAGATATTGCACACACGCTCCACTTAATTACTAAGCGTATAAGTGATACTGTGGTCTGTGTCTGAGAGCTGTCAGCAGGGTCAAGCACAGATGTTGAGATCTCTTACTGTGTTTTCACTGTAGCTGGCTGAAGATAGTCACCAGAGATTAAAACAGTAATTAAATGCATCGGCATCCATTAACAGCTAAAATGCTCAACATCTCGTCCTTGGCTTTGTAATATTTGATGATTACCCCTTTTCACACATAATATAATTTTTTTTGTTAGACTGAATGATCTGCTTTTCTTGTTTATTGTTTTAGGTCTCTTGCCTTATATCTAGTGTATTAATTCTAGTGGTGATATATGCAATTGGACCTATGCTGTACTGGCTGCCTATGGTATGGTACTTTTCTTTTTTCAAAGTTATGATTTCAAGCATTTTCTAGTGACTCGATTTCTTTCAGGGGAAGATAGTCCTACCTCTAAAATAGCACTGTTTAATTTCAATGGGAGAACAAATATTAAGGGCAAAACAAGTTTCAGAATCATGAAATACAGAGGTGACAACATAATACATATAGATTTTACAAATATAGTTGCATATATAAGCTAGCTTATAAGCATTTCTCTTCCATTTACTTTTGGCACATAGTTTATGAAAAATATACATCCAGATTGCTGTGTATTTGTAAATTGACAAAGTGTGGTAGAAACTAACGAAGACCCACAATTTTTATCCAGTTATGCATATGATGTATGACTTTTTGCTTCTCAAATAAACTTGACACAAATGATTGTAGATAGTGATCTAAGATTAATTACAGAAAGATTATGAGGTGTTCTTACATCTCTGCCATGGAATACATCTTCTACACTTAAGAATCTATAGAGCAAAGTGGTGTGTTTTCACATAAACTGTATCTAACTTCTGGTATTATGAATTAATAGCTAATTTTAACCAGAGGCATGTCAAAGATGCAAAATACAGCTCCAAAATTATCCTGAATTCTGCCATGTGTGTACATGATATTTTAACTCAACTGTGTTTAAAATTTACTTTGTGCTATTGTTTACATAGTGTCAAATGAAGATTCTCACTTTTCAAACACAGATCCTTTTATAGTTTATTTTAACCATGCACAGTAAGGACACTTGAAGAGAGATGTACAGTACGTCTTTTTTCTTACTATACTGCTCCTCTCTCTTTTTCTTTTTTTTTTTTTTTTAATGGATTATATGTAAATTTTGACTGGTTTCCTGTAGGCTTCCCCCCCTCCCCCCCAATTTAAAATAAACCAAACCTTTTTATATGTTGCTTTCTGGATATTTTATTTCTTTTCTACTTTGCTTTCTTAGCCCCCCACCTATATGCTGCAACTCCACCATTTTGTACTCCATCCTTTTTGGCTCCAGATAATTTCTTCATCCATATCCTCCCCTTTTCTGATTTGGAGAAAAATAAATTATTTTGTTTGCCTCTAAGTTTATGGATTTTTTGCTCTAAACACCTTCTCTAGATGGTGAAGAAGGGGAATCGAAATTCTTCACTGTGTAGAAGTTGAGTGCTGATTTGCTTCTGAGTTCCCCAGACTATGGCAGAATGTTGTTGGTCTGGCAATGCATGGAGAGCCTTGGAAAGTCCTGAAGTTTCTGGTTTTTTTTCCTCACAATTAGGTGGCCTATAGATTACCTTCAGGAAAAAACCAAATGGGTTTGATACTGTTAGTTTTCTGTCACAAGGACAGCTGTGTTCATACCATTTCTGAAGCATTAACTTCAGATTTTTTATGATTTAGTTATAGTATTGACTGCTAAATTGAAGAAAGAGCATTTGTTTTCACTACCAATTCTGAAAATGGATTTTGGTTTTTATATATTTGCAGTGTGTGCTAGCAAGTATTATTGTTGTGGGCTTGAAGGGGATGCTAATACAGTTCCGTGACTTAAAAAAGTATTGGAATGTGGATAAAGTAGACTGGGTAAGTAAAACTTAACCTAAGGAGATATTCCTGTGGCCCTTTAATGAATACCTGATAAATAAACTTTAATAATTCTGTGGCCCTAGAAGAGATAACCAGGTTGTTATTTTAGGGGGGTTGTGTCCATCAGCTTATTTTCTATCTCAGAATAACAGCATCTATAATGCCAGTTGTATTTAAAAAGGGAAATTTTAACAAATGATAAAGAATCAAACCTAGTTCAATGCTAAAGATGTGTATATGGCAGATCAGGTTTATCTGAGCAGATGTGTGTCTAATTTTGCATGTCTGGTCTAGCTGGTTAGCTAGAGAATGCTTTTGCTATTGTAGAATTATAGAAAAGAATCTGGTATTTTTGTCCACTGGGGATACAGAATGGCCATACAGAACAGAACTGGAAACACTAGAGATGCAGACAGATACATGTCCTAGGGTGATGTAAGTAAATTGTCTTAATTCCTTCAGATTTTGCAAACAGAGTATCTACTGTTTGACCATAATGAAAGATTCTGAAGTATTAGAGGAGGAATACATCAGAAAAGCAGATAGATGGAAAGGTGAATAATATGAAAATCTAATTTAATGCAGAGTCGTAATAGTCTGACATATATTTGCACAGAATTCCTAGCAAATATTAAAGATGACTTCATATTTAGGAAGACTCCTAGATTTCTCTTTTGAGGGAGTTTTTGAACATACTCACCAATTAGTGGAACCAAAACCTATAAGCAGTTACAGAAACACATACTAATATACCATAAGGCATTTGGAACTTATGTTTATATAGTTTCAGTTAACAAATATTCATAAAAGTATTTTGGCTGTATCCTCCTTCTGTGTGGTAGGAGACACAGGTTACTGGAGGTCATATTGGGCTTTGAACACACCAGTGACTTATTATTCTACAGTAGTAATGGTAAACCTAAACTGAATAAAACGTTTATTATTTTTTTAATAAAACACTGGATTTCAGAATGGAAATCAATGCTGAGTAAACGATTTAGAGTTTGGCTATGTGAGATTTTTCACATTTTGTCACAGAAGACCAGAGGTTGGGAGTTTTTGTTGTTGGTTTTTGTTTGTTTTTCACCATCCAGAAGAAAACCTTTTTCTCTTGTGAAATCTTATGGTTCTCAAGCAGCAAAATTCTGAAAATATTTTCTACCCCTTATTGCCAGTGATGCAAGTGGTGGATGATGTAAATCAAGAGTTATTCTGGGGACAATGGGTTTAAGAAAATTGGTAGTTATGGGAGAGAGAGATAGCTTGTCTGTCAGTGCATTGAGATAATAAGTAGTTAAGTTTTCCAGCAGGATAATCTGGAACCTCATTAGACTTGATGTATCTCCACAGTTAGACTAGCCTGACTGCTTTTTGCTTTGTGATTTTGATTTTGTGGTTTTGGCAGGAAAGGATGGGGGATTACTTAGTTCATACATCTCAAGCATCTGTCATTATTACTAAGAGAGGTTAGAGAGAGAGGGATTGGGTTTGTCTTTTGACTGAACATACTTGAACAATGATTTATCTTCAAGCAGTTGTACCATCAGCCCTTAGCATGACAAGGTAAGTTATCTTGCTTTAAATAGCGTAATCTAAAGTAAGGCTATACACATTACACTGCTGCCTGGTTGGAGGAGCCCCACCTAGCCCAGTGATTTCAGTAGCTACACCAGGGTTGATTTTGGCCCGAAAAGGTTCACCCCAGCAATTGACAGCATATTGGAAATGAATTAGTTACATTACCCAGGTTACCCAGAGTATTTTGAAGATAGAAATGCTAACAAAACATTTGGAAATAATCAGCATCTGTTCTTTCTGGAACTGATTCTTTGAAGGGTGTGTGTCATTGTAGCACAGAAGTCAGATTTGTTATGCTTATAGGTCTGGCAAATGATAGTGTGTGGAAAGGGAATATTATGAGGTTTCTTACCTTATTCCTTCATACTTTAAGCTTCTCATTGAACACAAACAGGATAAGTAGTATTTAGTTGTTGCTTCTTTCTTTATAAACCGTCATTCTTTTAAATGTAAAAGGTATAGCTTAAAAGGTGCAGCTCAGGAGTTGGACTTGATGATCCTCATGGGTCCCTTCCATCTCAGGATATTCTGTGATTCTATGAAATTGTCCTTCAGCCATGGGTTGTTTTTTCTTGCATATTTAATATTTAGGAACAGCTGAGTTCAAAGGAGCTAGGCTGACAGACCTAAGTAGATAATGCAAAATGTTATCAGCTGAATATTACTATATATATTTGGTTTGGTTTTCTTTTAACTTGTTTTTTATCAGCCCTCAGGAAACGTCCTGGTTTTACATCCCACCTCTCAAATCACATTCAATTTCTTCCCAGGTAGAGCACCATTGCTCTTACTCCAAAATGTCCTTACCTGCCACTCACAGCATTCATAGGAACTTCAAAGGTCTCTTGCCTCAGTTAAGGTCTTCTGTCAGTCCCTGTATCTTCTTGGATGACTTCAACAACTTCAGATCAATAATTTTTCTACTACATGACATACATGTTAAACGCATAACTCTACACATAACAGTATTTGTACTCCCTCTGCTGTCTTCATCTTTTGGTGGTTTCCATGACGTTGTTTCCTGTGTTACCTGCATTTTATACATTTACCTGAGAATGATTTGTCATGAATTTTTGCCTCTTCTTTGGGAACAACCAGGAAGTTGATCTGGAATTCATCTTAAGTGTACCTCACTTTTCAGGTCCTCAAATTGAAAGTTGATTTCCATATCCTTCCTGCAAGCCTCATTTTCTTATGCAGGCCTACTTGTTGACTAACTTCCCTTTTTTATTCTCCAGTTTGACAGTGCACTTTTCTGGTCTCAATAAAAAGGCAGTGAAGCTCTTGTTAACTTAGTTTTTAAGGCTGAACATCCCAGATAAGATGGAGCAATTTAAGATTGTCAAAGACTACTGCCTGGTAATTGACTGCTGAAGGAAATGTTCTTTTAGCTGTTAAACTGGACTTGAAAGTGACCACAGATGGGGAAAAAGTATTTCAGAAGGTGATGCTTTAAGTGAAAAAGACAACAGAATAAGGATTATTTTAATGAGTTAATCTTAAACAGGGATTTTTGGTATTTAGCAGAGAAATACTATGACATTTAAAGAGAAAAAAAATGTTTGAAAATTGTACAAATGGCTTGGCCAGGTGTCCTGGGTTCAGCTACAGCAGTCATTTTTTCTCCTTCTTAGTAGCTGGTGCAGTGCTGTGTTTTTGACTTTCAGTCTGGGAACAACGCTGATAACACCGATGTTTTTAGTTGTTGCTCAGTAATGTTTACTCCGACCAAGGACTTTCTCAGTCTCATGCTCTGCCAGGGAGGAGGGGAAGCCGGGAGGAAGCAGAGACAGGACACCTGACCCAAACTGGCCAAAGGGGTATTCCATACCACAGCACGTCATGCCCAGTATAGAAACTGAGGGGAGTTACCCGGAAGGCCCAGATCGCTGCTCGGGTCGGGCTGGGTATCGGTCGGCGGGTGGGGAGCGGTTGTGTCCTTTTCCCTTGTTATTCCTCTTATCATTATTATTGGTAGCAGTAGTGGTTTGTATTATACCTTAGTTACTGGAGAGCTGTTATCTCAACCCGTGGGAGTTACATTCCTCTGATTCTCCTCCCCATCCCTCTGGGAGTGGGGGGGAGGAAAAACGAGGGAGGTGAGCAAGCAGCTGCATGGTTCTGAGTTACCGGCTGGGCTTAAACCACAACACCAGGAAATGACCACAACAGAGAGAAAGCCAAGTTGTATTCCTGACTTGTAAAGGAGAAAGAATGGCAACAATTTGTGGTAAAAATTGCACATTCGCTCTCATGTAATAGTGTCATGACATGAGAGGCAGTTTTTGATGTACGAATTGTATGTGTATGCACATATATTAATATGTAAGGATGTAAAAAATTATACTAATTCAACAGTTAAAGAAGATCCAATGAGGAGGGTCTCATTTACAACAAGTATCCCCCAAGATCTTGCTAGTGGGTGTTTCTGAGCCTTGGATCCACCACCCTGTCAATCTATTTTGTCACAGTAGTTTGGAGGAGGGGGAACAGGGAGGGTCTTCCATGGTATTTTAAAAATTACTGATCCAATTTCATGTATGTTTAAGAGATTTTTAACATGATATCCTCAGGGAGGAGATGGCCTTTTATATTTGCTCAGGTATTTGTCACATAGGGGCCCTGATTCATGAGAGGGCTCTGAGAGCTCTGAGGGCTTTGCTTTATTTTCCACAGAGTAGGAAGCTCTCTCTTCTAGATAATAATTTACATGAATACTTCTAGCTAATGACATCCTAGGGAGATTTTCTATCTTTCCTTTGTTAGGAATATGCTACCCTGAGTTATATCACTTTTGTTGTAGTTTGTCTCAGTGCGGTGAGAAGGAATTTAAAAATGTTTAATCCATTGAAAGTATGATTGCCATATAAATTCTTTTTAAACAATGATATTTATGCCAGTCCATCTGTCTCCAGGGCAGTTTGCAAACAGATACCCTCTCAAGCACTCCTCCATACACCATTGTGTATGGAATGCTTGTGAAAAATTCTATTAAGGAACTAAAATACCACTTCACTATTAAGGAGTTTCTGCTCTATGGCTGTGGTGGTCTTCACTTTAAGTTTTGATGAAGGTTGCCCTGAGGATCTATGCATGCATCAGTCATTTGTCTGCAGAAGGACAGGGGAACAGGAGCATGCTACTCTGCCTCCTTGTAGCCAGAGCCTCCTCCACGACTCCAGCATCTTTCCTGCCAAATCTCTGAATGAACGGGAATTTAATGGGATTCTTCTTTTGGCTACGTGCTGGTGACTGCAGCATGGACCTCTATATAAGCAAGTCATCACAGCATTGCATTAGACAATACAGAGCTGGTCAGTTTAGTCATGTTAGGATATGATTCATCTCTTTCTCAAGCAGGCACCAACATAACCAGGTAGGAGTTAATGAACTGCATCCTAAATTCCCTTCTGATAGCCAAATCTTCTTTGAGTATGGTGGGTGTCTAGAAAGCTCACACAGCTGTAGATATCTGTGCTGTAGATAGTTAATGCCAAGTGAAATGAACCCTATCCCTTCAGGCAATAGCTGATCATCTCATCAGTTTGCAACAAAAAGGGAAGTTTATAATCCAGTTTCAAAGTGGTACAGAAACATTCATTATCACAGTACTGTAGCATTGTTATCCATAGGCACAGAGAGTATTCTCTCACTTCTCCTTTTTTCCTATTTCAGACTCCCTGCAATGATGGGTGTGTAGACCCTATGAAATAAAAAGGTCTAGATTCTGTCAAAGGTCAAAAAAAAAAAAAAAGGTCAAAATGCTGTCCACAGAATTTTGGAGGCAGCTGCTATGTATACACAGTCCTCTCAATGCTTCCAATACTTTCTGATGTATGCCAGATTCAACATAAATATTCTGCTTGTTTCTTTTCTCTCTCTTTAGAAGTTCTTTTTTAATTGTTACAGTACAAGTATACTTTGTAGATATATTTTGTTTTGCCTTTTGAGAATAACATTTGCCTTTAACACATTATTGCTAGGATTTGAAGAATGGTTAGATTTGATCTGTCCTGAACTATACAATAGCCATATTAAAATAAGTTGCCAAAGAAAACTTTGATATTTTTATGACTTTTTTGACATGGGTGACAACCCATGAATTAAAAAAATGTCTATGACATCAACATAACTTCTTTCTACAAGTTTCATTCTTCCCTGACTAAAAAAGTACTGATTTCAGGCCAACTCAAAGCACTGAAAGAATGATTGACAAATGAGAATATGATTGTTTTGGCTCATCCTCTACAATAATGTCAGTATCTGGTTACAGTTAAGATGTAAGATACTAGGCTGTTAAAGAGGTATTCAACTAGCTTTCTCAGTACTCAGCAGTATTTAAATATTTTTGTCTTTGATTCTTCCCATGAAGACTTAATATTGGTTTTTCATGCTTTCTGTTTTCTTCTGAGACAGAAGAATTTTTTAGGTCTTACAGAAGTAATTTAGTTAGACATGATGAGGCTCAGGTCTGCAGCTGAAGTGGATTGCTTGATCTCAGGTTTCAAGAATTCAGCCTTACCAGGATGGGCTAATTCTTGATCCCAGTGGAACTTCAGGTTTATAGTATGTCTGTTCGCCCTTTCATGTCCAGAAAACTCCATTATAAATATATATTGCATTCGTAAATCTTAGAATTAGGTTTTCACTTACTAATCAGAACTCAATATTTGTTGCTCAAAAGGTATTCTTTGCAAATATATACACTGAAATTTGTATAAAATGTCATTTTAAAATATAACTGGAGATCGAGCACCATTTCAAAGAGTGAACTACCTCTTTACCTAGCAGCCATGCCCCTGAAGAGACTGCAAAACCTTTTGCAGTAGTTTAGAATATTGAAGATGAGAGAGGAAAAGGTTTTTCAGTAAAATCTAACACTCTGTCCCCTGTGAAGCTCAAATTAGTACAGTATGACTTACATTTTATAATTCATAAAATAACAGTTCTGAAATCTGCTTGAGAAAAATTCCTGTGGTTAGACTGAAAGTATTCTATTATCTCTGGCTTTCCTGAGCTAAGTGAAAGCATCAGAAAGGATAATTTTAACACTGATTGTGCTGTTGTAATGTGATCTGTTCCTCTTCAAACATTAACAAGAAGCACTATAATTGTTGAAATGGGCACCTGCGGAGATCAGTATACCCAAAGGAGTGAAAACACTTTCCATTCTTCTTTAACTTTATTTCTACAAAGATTAGGTGGCAGTCTTTGCTTAAGGCTCCCCCAAGGAAAGAAATATGTGCTGACATTATGTTGGTATAAGAAATTAGGTAATTTATACTTTTCTCCTTTTAATTGTAAAATCTGGATATCTGTCAGCCAAACACTTTTTTGTTTAGAAAATTATTAAGAAAAATATTGGAAATGTTGAAATATTTTATTTTTTTAAATTTTAAATTCCTTTTCAAAATGACTGTTGTCTCAGATATGCTCCTTTTTATTTTTTTAAATTACATTTAAAATGAATCCAAAGTTTTATTAAACAAATATTGAAAGATGGGGAAGTAATCTGAAATCTCACCATTTCCATGTGAAGAAATTCATTCCCCAATAATTTTATTTGTTATAGAGTTGGCTTAGTCAGCTCTACCCTGAAAAATGCCACTTTTAATGAACTTCCTTGCAAATTATAGTTCCCATTTATACAACTAGTGGGAGAAGAGCTCTCTGTATTTGACCTTTAGGGTACATCATTGTGTAAAAGGAAAGGAAGATTTTAATGTGTGCAGTGAAAAAGGTGACAAAAACTTTCAATGTGAAAAATAAAATACAGGTTTCACAGAACAACTGAGCTCATTCTAAATTATGCTGTTAGTGCAACTACAGATGCTATTTTAAGTAACTCTGAAAGGAACTTCTGTGAGCATTGGGATGAACAGTGCCATATCATATGTATTCTCCCCACAGGGAAACATTGTTTTAATTGCTAATTCAGCTTTTAATATTTGCCAGTTCAAAGATCCAACTGTTCATCTCTGAGAAACTGTCTTCAATTTAAAATCTTTATTTCTGATTCATAAAATGCACATTGTTACAAGAATTAAAACTAACCACTTCTTTCTGTTTCCCTCCTTAAAGAGCATATGGGTTAGTACCTACGTATTTACAATATGCTTTGCTGCTAATGTGGGACTATTGTATGGCGTTGTCTGCACTATAGTAATTGTGATTTTCCGCTTTCCCAGGTGAGAAACTATTTATTGAAACATTCTAGTAGCACATTATTATGTCTTTTTTCTGGCATATTGCCTCGCAGTCAGGATAGGTGTACGGTATACTAAATTTAACAATGAAATTCAGGTTTTCAGTTGCAGAAAATTACAAGGTAAGAGAATTCAAAAGGAAAATTCACACCTGTGCATTTACTGTAGACTAAGAATCTCTAAAACATTTCATACTACAGCATTATTTTGCTATTTCTCTTAGTATTACACATCTGTATGATGATGAAGGTAGCATAAGATCAACAGAAAGCTCAATAATAACATTTTTTCTCCATTGGATATTTATATGCTTCTTAAGGGGAAAGTATGTCTAGCAAACCTTAGTAACTAAGTGTCTTTATGAACTAGATACTATGTTGCACAGGAGTTGATAGTTAACATTTGCATTGCTAATATACAGAGTCATAGGATTGTTTAGGTTGGAAAAGTCATTTAAGATCATCAAGTTCAACTTAATGAAACATAACTGCATCACTATTGCAATGTCTAATGAAAAGTATAAATTCTATGTATGAATGAATTAGAAAAGAATTAGAGTGTATGAATGTATATATGAATTAGAAAGTCCAGGACAAAGAAACTAGAGCTAACAGAATCATAGAATCATCTAATAATCAGGGTTTTAAAGAACCTTAAAGCTCATCTAGTTCCAAACACCCTGCCATGGGCAGGGACTCCTTCCACTAGACCACATTGCTCAAGGCCCCATCCAACCTGGCCTTGAACATTTCTGGGGATGGGGCAGCCACAACTTCCTCGGGCAGCCTGTTCCAGTCCCTCACCACCCTCACAGTAAAGACCTTCTTCCTTATATCTAATCTAAACTTCCCCTGTTTAAGTCTGAAGCCATTACCCCTTGTCCTATCACTACAGTTCTTGATGAAGAGTTCCTCTCCAGCATCCTTGTAGGTCCCTTCAGAAATTCATGTATTATTTTGCATGTATTACAGTTCCTACTTTGAATCACGAGTAAAGGAAAGTATCAGCTGAGGTTCGTGATCATTTTGTGTTACAGAATTAATCCATAGCTCACCAGTCATGGAAATGACTTGCTGCTTGCAAGTAGTTGTTCACATGACTATTGAATTGCACTGAAATCAAGCACAATATAGACAACTCCACTTAATGCTTGTTAAGGTTAATGATGTTAACCAATTTACGCATAACTCTGTTCTTATGGAATAAATTGCAGATCCAGTGTGAAAATAGCCCAAAATTGCAAGACCAGTACAAATTATGGAAGATGGTTCTGCCTGAATCAGTCTGTACATTTTTGGTAACCTTCTGTTACTTAGAAAACTAAAATTTTGGTAAATTCTGCTAGTAAAGGACAGCAGAAGGGGAGCAATATCTGACACAGAAAAGCATGATCCTCTTTTGTCTGATATAACAGAGTCCTGAGTCTGAACCTGCTCTAACTAAAGTAAAAAAGACTTTTCCCACTGATTTCTGTGATCTTCAGGCAGGCTGCACATGATTGTCCTAAAGGCACTGAACAACCTAACAGTCTTAAAATTTGTACTACAGATGAGGTTAGCAAGAGAACGTTGTTGTCCAGTCATGGGCAAAAGCATCAGCAAAATTAAAGCAAAAAAACCACTGTAGGTGATTTGTTGTGAACTTTCTTTTTGGATGCCAGAGTACTGGACATAGTACTTGTCATGTATTAGAATATATTAAAACCTGCAGCAGCTACAGCTCAATTTATGAAAACATGAGAGAACAGCTGACTTTTACAAGCCTCATTTAGCCAACCCCAGTACCTACCTGCAAACACTCCTTGCATATCGATGCATCTATTAAATGTTTGCATTCTGGGATTATTTACATTGCCTAGCTTTAGGCACCAAGCTCAGATGATAACTGGTTTCATAGTTTGCTTCTCCTGCTGTTAAATGTATTCATGCAAAATGATGTATTGAAGCAGAAGGTCCTATGTTAAGCTACCTTTTCAAGGCAACTTTCTCTTTTCACTGACTGTATAGAGCGCATAGGGATGTTGGCTCTTCCAGTTAAGTCCCCTACTTTGATAGCTAGAGTGCAATGTTCTGCTTCAGTATACTAAGATCTGTCAATGTTCATGACAAATAAAACATCCTTAGATTTCATGACCCATAGCTATTTGATATCTTTTTTTTTTTTCATTTCCTTAGAATACATTTTTCCAGATAAAAAAAATTAATTAAACCTTTTGAAGCTGTAGATTATATATTACCTACCTTGACTTGAGATTAATTCTCTGGCCAGATGCAAAACAATAATGAAACTTAAAAATAAGATTTTATTTATCAGAAATTTCAATTACTCATATTTTCAAAGTGATATCTTCTAATTTAAAATGTGCTTTTTACTCTTTACCTGGATCATTAACACAAAAATAAAAAAATGCTATATGCATGAAAATACATATGGAACGCATTGTTGCACCTTTAAACTTCTGTGCTGTAGTTTTGGGGAGTGTCTCTTCCTATTTCTGTTCAAGACAACTAATCATTTGCCTTACAGATTTTTCTCTATGTATTGATTACAGAGCAAAGACACTGAATTTGAAAAATGTGAACGAAGTGGAATATAAATACAAAACAGAAGATAATTGTGTAAGTTAACTTTGTGTGCATGCGTGCATGTGTGTGTTCTACTAATCCTCATTTTCTCTACTTGGTTACCAGATCATAAACGGTGAGTCAAGGAAACATTTTTATAATGTAAGCAGTTGAAATCTAAAGCCAGTAAGACGTCGTAAATACAAAACTAGTCTGGGCATCAGAAATTGTAATATTTTCCTGGTTCTGTTGCTGGCCTGCAGAGTAAAGTTAAGCAAGTCCTCTTAGATCTCTCTATCTTAGTTTATTTGTTGCTAAGAAGTTAGAAATGGCTCATTTGTAAAAGTTTCCTAATTCCTAAGTCTAAGGAAATCTCTTGGCAGCAAGGGCATCTGAGCAGGCAACAGCTCTCTTTACATTCTTGTAAGATTTCCTAGTTTCCTGAAAGTCCTTTGGTATTCTCTTCATCCACATTTTCTTTTGTGACCCCTTTTCTGCCACTAACCCCTTGTGATCGTACTGTCCCAGAGGACACTGTGTGTCTGGGGAAGGAGGGACAGCAGCATGGAGTTGTCACAGATCTTCACACATCTCTCCACTCTGTACCCAAACAAGGGTACCCTCATATCTAAAATGGGTGGAGGAATCTCTCCCAAAGTCTGTGGTTTTGAAATTTGGTTTCTTACCAACTTAAACCTACCAGTCAGAAATCTTAAATTCTTTTGGTTAGTTTCATTACAATTATCATCACAGTTGCTTGTGGTCAAGCCTGTGGTAAGAAGGATAATGACCCAGAGAGGTGAAATCCCTGTTCCAAGATGAAATACTAGGTCAGCAGCCAAAGAGAAGCAGAAACATGTGTCCTTTCAGCACAGAGTCCCATCAGTAGGGCATCCTGCCTTCTCCATGATGGCAATTTCTACTATGTACTCTTCCCTAATGCTTATGAAATGTCTTATGTATCAGGAAGCAACATGCCCATCAGTTATCGCCTCACCACTAAGAAGCTCTCCTCTAAAGAATTTTTTTGGTTTGTGGCAAATGTTTTCCATCATAGCTGTCTTGGGCTCAAAATCTGAACTTGGCTTAGGGCTGTTTACTGTTTTAGCATGCTAAACAATGCTGGAATGTGAAAGGTAAGTGTGAATGGGGGGGGACTCTGAAATGTAGATTAAAATCACTGTTGTTGAGGCTGGTCCATCTGTCAATTATTATATAATTTTTCAATCTTAAGATAAAAGTTGGAGTAACTTTGTCAGAGATGGGTAACCAAAATGGATTTGCCTGCTTGTTTTCATATCAGTTCATAAAATGCCTTGCACAAATCCCTATGTGTCTTTTTTTAAGCTAACTGCTCCCCTGCTTTTTTTCGTTAATCATGAAGATTAATGCCAGTAACCATGTAATAACAAGCTAGTGTCTGCAGACAGTGGGGAAAATAACATTTTGTTAAGAAAGCAAATTGCTCAAGAGCTTATTACACAAAACAAGAAAGGAAAGTATTTTTACGATTTAGAAAAATGCCTTTAATTGAACTTAGAGTCACTGGGTTACAGCAGGCATTTAGGGTAATTTTTAATGTATGAATGTGAGACTAATCCAAGTTCCCTTGGTAAATAACAGCTTACACATGAACAATAGAACTTTTAAACATGAAAATATGCAAGCTTAATGATCTACCCTGCCTATTAAGGTCTATAGATTTATAGGGGTTGTTTCATCAATAAAAGAAAAGACAGTTTAATGTGGAAAAAGTCAAGAAGGCATTTGGAAGCTTATGTGAAACACATTGCATCACAGGCACTCACTGAACTGAACTCTTACTCAAGTATAGACAGTGGTGTGCAGAGTACATAGGGCAATTGTCCATATCCTTCTAAGTGACAGCAGGGATGGGCCACCTGAGATAATTTTCTTTCTTAGCAAGCACACAACAGAGAAGAAGTCCATTTTTCTCAGAACGGTTCTTATTAAGAAAGGAGCTAGAACCAAAATAGAGCCAGGAATACCTGAGTCAAATTTGGCACAAATGTCCTTGACCATCCTGGACAAAAGATTATACCTAAGTCTGCCATTTGCCTGATTTAGCCTTCTGATTTGAGCCTTTTGAGTTTTTCACCTTGTGTTTTTGGAAGCTTATTAGCTTCTTGATCATCACGGGCTTTGATTTTTGCACATTAGTCTTGCTTTTTTCTTAGTTTTCATCTTCTGCTTTGCCAGTTCTGGTATGGTACGAAAGTGCCCACTTGTCTCCACGTTCCAGTTGTGTATAGCATTTTTATGGGAATCTGTGGAATATTGGAGTATTTCTCCAATCAATCACATATTGCCCTATGTTTTGTCCTTATTTTAGAGTTTACTTGCATATAATCTAAGCTATTTAAATAGCCAGTTAGGCTTTGCCACTTGACTGGCCGAGGTATGTTGGTGATGGGATATTTACCACAATTGCATTAATAGGTAAATTGCACAAAGTCCCTATACATAGTCTGGGGTTCATTGCCTCAGTTTTGGATGTTTGAAATGTTTCCTTAGTCTGTATGGTTGCTGTGGTGGTATCTGAGAGATCATCTGGTTCCCAGAAGTCTGAATAGCAGTCGTACAATAAGGAGGTAGTTTGTGTGGTTTGTCGTGAAGATTTCTATTCCTGTTCTGCTTGAAGGTCTGTTGGGAAAACTGCATGTCTTCAGTGCAATCCCATGCTTTTTGAACTACTTAAAAAATGGTTTGTGGCAGCTCCACTTGCTTGTATTTGGGTGCGAACTTGTTACATATCTCTAACTTCTGTTAGGAAGGAAAGAGGACTTTTGAACCTATATTCTGCAAATTCTTGGCTTTTACTTCCTGTTACCTGTTGTCACAAGTAGTTAATTTTTGAGAGCTGATACTCACATAAATCAGATATTTCAGTAGAACATGGGTATTTTCTGTATCCAGCCCCCTTTTTGCACTTAGTTATAGGATATTTTATTGCATATAGCGCGTTCGTGGACTGAAATGCTTTTGGAGAACCTCTCAGAATCAGATCTGACAGCAGGGTCTGCTGCTGGCCTGCTGAGATGTTGTCAGCTGCAATGCTTGCCCCTTAAAATCAGCAGAGTGATGTCTTTCCTCCTGTTTTCATTCTTCCAAAGCAGGCAAAGTTTTTTACGACACTGTTGAAGCTGACACTCAAAGGTACCATGATTTGCATGTGAAAATACCTAGTGGGAATCATTGCTGTGAAACACCCAGGTGGTGTGTGGTCAGGGATTCTCTTCTCACTGGGAATGAGAGTGCTCTGAACTTCCACTTGTAACCCAGATATAGCCAGCTGCCATAAAATACTTGCCTGAAAGGCAAATTAATCCTATTACTTTTTTAGCAGCTGGTGCTTACGAGCAGTGTTATTGTGTCTATTTCAGATTCTCTAGTTGCATGCATGCTTGTCAGGCAGAAAACCAGAAAATGCTACTGAAAATATTGACAACTTTTATATGCCACACATTATCCTGCTTATTTCTGTTTACAGTGCCAGATGTGTTAAAGATCGATATAGCTATTTATTGGAATATACATAAAAAGCTTTATAAGTACATGTAATATCTTTCACTAGATCAAATAGCATAACTGGGAGAAGCAGAAGACCCTAACTGACAGACTTTTCCTCAAGTCTAAAACAGAAGCAGCAGAAATCAAAGCAGCTGTCCTCCACATTGAATTTGGTCTGAGACCTAATTTTCCTAAGGAAAAGAGAGACATGGGTCACAACCTGGGGAAAATGGAGAGTTCAGTAGGTTAGCTTAGTTCTACCTGCCTACAAAACCAGTATTTCAACTGGGTTTGTGATTGCTGATATCCAATATATTTATATATAAATATTAATTTTCTTACTGGCTTTCGAAGGTATTTTTAAGTCCACTTTGAGAATGAGAGAAATAGTACTTGTTTTGTGGGAAATATTCCCTACTGGTACCTGGGAGTTCCTGACCTTTATCTGACATCCTTCAGAAATCATTCTGCTGTGTCACATCTATATTTTGAGCTACACAGGTTCATTGAAGGTACCTGGTGGACTGGTTGAAACTTATTCAAGAAAGTGCAGAGACAGGATTGGGGGCAGCTGATGGTTCTTGTGTAGGTTATTTATTATCTTGCTTGTAGATATGTACCAACAAAGTTTTAAATGTGTTGCTCCAGCTTGGTCTGAATCGACTAAGTATTTCCATAGAGAAATACCCCTGTTGTACAGAAGTCATCTTCAGATGACCAAGATGAACATTTTCAGCCTTCCCCAAATCACCTGCAGTGTTTGCTCCAAAACCCTGTGTACTTTTTCCAATACATGTGTTTGTCTAATAAAAAATATTCGCAGTCTGCAAACCTCGTCTTTCCTAAGTTTGAGTATCATACCAACTGATTTGCCAGATAGTAATTATTAGTATTATGCATCATAATGACTATGATTTTCCTTTCATGCTCACTTGAATTAAGGATAATTTTCCTTATAGTTTACTTGTATTTCCTTCTTACTTCAGTTGTGAAGACTGATCAAGATGATAGTTATTTGTTAAATCATTCTCACAATCCAAAATTCCTGCTAGGTTGATTTACAGAAATTTTCATGATTTTTGAAGAAATTAGTTCAGTTTTTAGTCTTCAAACCCAAGATAATATTTTCAGCTTTATGTTTATTTCTTTCCACAGGAATCATTAAAACAGGTAAACATAGTTTCAGTCAACAACCCGTTAGTCTTTCTGAATGCCAGGAAATTTCACGCTGACCTCATAAAGATAATCCAAAAGGATAGCATGAGCAGCCAGGCATGTGAAGATGTAAACAAGGTAGGTTATGCTATATGCTTCAATAATCACAGTGACAGTGTTGAAGGTCTTGATTGCTTTCCTTATATTTCATAGAGAATGTAGTCAGATATTGAAACAGATATAAAAAGGTAATATTTAAAAGATTAATTTAGAATAAAGTTAATGCTTATCTTAATCATATTCAATAAGATTCTTTTCTTATTATTAATTGAAAAGAATATCTTTACTGTTTCTATATATGATCTTGTAAGAGCCATTAAAGCACTGATCCAAAACTCTTCAAAATTTCTGGCAGAACTTACATAACCTCAGCTAACAGGTGGTGATATTGAAAAGACAATGAGTAGCTACATACCTACTTGAATAAGATGTGATTTTTTTGTGCTGAAGGTGAGTCCATGAGAGATAGACTTTTAATTTCTATTTATAACTATAAATGCTTTCAGGAAAATTAGGAAGAAGGTAGTGTTTCTCTTTCATTTTCTATACTGATTGTGTTGGAAAAATAAACAATATGCAAATTATGTATAACTCAGTTTTGGACAAAATCTCTGTAAGTACAGTATTTTTTGAGTTGAACTGCACGTAACTACTGCAACTTCTTACAACACTCGCTGAAAGGGGGAAAAAATTAGTTTTCTGTCATTACAATAAAGACATTCCAACACCATACAATGCTTGCTGTAAGCAGTTTCATACAGTTTGGCAAATTGGGCTGAGAAAATAACAGCCGTTTCCTATATGGGTTATTCAGACAGTGGCAGGCAATCCTGAGGAGAGGATAACCCTTCCTAAAAAATTCTGTGGCTGGAGCTAGCAACAGGAGCAGCTGTGCTGATGCACAATGAGCTGCAGAGCACTGATAATCTTCTGTACTCTTGAAAACAGGGCTGGGGCCTTATTTCTTCCATCAAGAGTAAATGCTTATCCCAGGGTTCAGAAGCAGCACCTTTTCCAAAGGGACAGACCAGAGGAGAGAGTGTTTCTTTCTGACTGTGTGTGAGAGCAGCAGTACAGCTTTTCTGTGCCACCTTTGGCAAAATGTGTTGATTGTCCTGGCCTCCTTTTCCCCACTGGTGAAGTCAGGTGTTAGTGTTTAATTCATTGGGAGCTTGAGGGGAAGAAAAGCGGAAAAAGGACAGGTTGGATGGGGCTTTGAGCAACCCGATGTAATGGAAGGGGTCCCTACCTGTGTCAGAGAGGTCAGAACTAGATGATCTATAAGGTCCCCTCCAACCCAAACCATTCTATGATTCGATGATTCAGCAATGTATGTCTACCACCTCTGTTGTCTCTTGCCAAAGAGCTGTGCAACCCATGGCTGCTTTGATTGGGGTCTTCTCCTCATTTTTCAGAAATTCAGCTCGGAAATCATACTGCCTTTATTCCTTGGTTCTGCCAGGCTAACTGATTAGGATTAGTATGATAACAAGCCTCCAAACAGAGAAATTACTTAGGATTTGCATGGAAATAATTTATTAGTTAATTTAATAAGTCTAATAAGTTAATTTAATAGGTTAATATATAAGTTACTTAAGAGAGAGATTTTATCCTTTGTGTCTTCTGTAAGGTACTTTGCAGTACAGATGTCTAAAATACTGTGCATGCTTTTTTTGTTATGGAACAAAGGTATTCCTGCAGCACATAATGGGAATGAAAAAAATTGCACCTTAGATTTTGTTTCTGTGCTGTATTTCTGGTTTTAACTCATATTTCTACTGAGAACTTAACGTTCATATTGAAAGAATTATAAAAAAGTTTATCCAGATAAATGTAATTCTTTAATAAATTTGCATATCAAAAATGTCCTGACTAAAATATTAGCATAGCAGATGAGATTTCAGCAAGTAGAAAATTAATCAAAAGTTAATCTTATAAAATCACTGGCTAGATTTTGTCTTTCCAAGAGTATCTTTGCCATCTTTTGACTCATCTGTTAACCAACCCCTGCTTCCCCAAAAACATCGTGTTTATAATATGCTTTCTAATGGATCCAAACATGACAGAGTTGGAGCCATCTAAAAACAAAGGGACACCTTGCACTAAACCATGTTGCCCAAGGCTCGGTCCAGCCTGGCCTTGAACACCGCCAGGGATGGAGCATTCACAACCTCCTTGGGCAACCTATTCCAGTGCCTCACCATCCTCACTGGAAAGAACTTCTTCCTTATATCTAACCTAAAGCTCCCCTGTTTAAGTTTAAAGCCATTACCCCTTGTCCTACCACTACAGTCCCTAATGAAGAGTCCCTCCCCAGCATCCTTGTAGGCCCCCTTCAGATACTGGAAGACTGCTATGAGGTCTCCACGTAGGCTTCTATTCTCCAGGCTGAACAGCCCCAACTTTCTCAGCCTGTCTTCATACAGGAAGTGCTCCAGTCCTCTTATCATCCTTGTGGCCCTCCTCTGGACTTGCTCCAACAGCTCCATGTCCTTTTGATGTTGAGGACACCAGAACTGGACACAATACTCCAAGTGAGGTCTCATGAGAGCAGAGTAGAGGGGCAGGATCACCTCCTTTGACCTGCTGGTCACGCTTCTTTTGATACAGCCCAGGATACGGTTGGCTTTCTGGGCTGCAAGCGCACACTGCCTGCTCATGTCAAGCTTCTCATGCACCACCACCCCCAAGTCCTTCTCCGCAGGGCTGCTCTGAATCTCTTCTCTGCCCAACCTGTAGCTGTGCCTGGGATTGTGCCTACCGAAGTGTAGGACCTTGCACTTGGCTTGGTTAAACTTCATGAGGTTGACATTGGCACACCTCACAAGCGTGTCAAGGTCCCTCTGGATGGCATCCCTTCCCTCCAGTGTATCAACCGAGCCACACAGCTTGGTTTCATTGGCAAACTTGCTGAGGGTGCACTCAATCCCACTGTCCATGTCACCGACAATGATGTTGAACAACACAGGTCCCAACACCAATCCCTGAGGGACACCACTCGTTACTGTTTTCCAACTGGACATTGAGCTGTTGACCACAACTCTTTGTGTGTGGCAATCCAGCTATGATTTTGATGAGGAGTTAACTTTGATATTGAGAAATAGAATACTTATATATTGCATTGATTTTCTCTGGTTACTATGCCAGACTAGTTGTCCTTGGTATGTTAATAGTTTGTTGCTTTTTTTTCAGTGTGAGCAGAACACATTGCTGTGTTCATTTTCCAATGGAAGTTGTCACGGTGAGTTTATTATCCATAAATGATATTAAAATGAAAATGGATGTAAGCATGCAAAATGGCTCTATGCTTTTCCATTTATTTCTAGGTGAACTCAAGTGATTTAGAAACTAGTGTTTTCAGTTAGACCGAATTGAATGAAGCAGGAGTCCTAAATAATGCTATACTCTGTTAAACCTGTCCTAACAGGTCCTATTTTTATTCTGTTCTTGACTGAATTTTTACGATTTAAAAGCAGGGAACCCAGAAGAATACTTTTTCTGCAGGAGTCCCTGCTTATTTCACAGTAATCACTGTAAGCATACTGAGACAGGTATGCCACAGACTGGTCTTCAGACCAAGGCCTAAGAGGCTGTTTTGCTAAGCACTGATTTTTGCATTCATAATGGAACTTGAATATTAGTATGCAAAAGTAAAAAAAGGGTAAGATTAGAGCCATGTTAAATCTTTGCGATCTTTAAAGCCACTTAGGAGAAAAATCTCATTAAATGTCAGCTGACATCAGTGACATGATGGGCACCAATATTGTACAGTGTATCAGCGTAGTATAAAGAAAAAAACCTAAAGGTTTGCTTTCAGCTGAGGATTAAGCTGGGTAATTGCAGTCTTCCCACATTTTGTAGCACTTAAATCAAACCAGAGCACATACATTCCCATGGTAGAGCTGCAGCAACCTATCGCAGTAGATACTTTATACAGATGACTTTATTGTGGATGGAATTAAAACACTGTGTTTATTTAAAATACTTACAAGCATTAAGGCCACAGTAGAGAATCTGATTTGGAGGCTGTTGGCTGAATGTTTACATTTATTAACTAAACTCATGACATTTTAATGATACTACAGTGTTTAATTTACTTAGGGGTGACAGAGTGCTTTGCTGTAACAAATTGCAACATGATGATACTGAAGACTGTATAGCACTACACTGTAAAATACTAAAAGAGTGCACAGTGTGAGAAGATCTTGCCAGTACATACTTCAACCTTCTTCTTTTAGATCAACCAGTTTGTCATGTTACAGAAGTGACAGACAGCACAAGGCCTCTTTTCTGATTGCTTAAGGCCTGCCTTGGGGACTTAAATGCTTTGTTGTTCTTTGTACCAACCAGTCTGTGGTGACTATTCTAGGGGGCTTTAGAATAAAAAACAGAGAGAAAAAAGAAAAATCCCTATAAAAACAAAATGTGCGGCTTCAGTTTTCAGGAAGGAGGGGAGCAGGAGGACATAGTCCTTACAGCAGTCGTCCTGGAAAGTGTAGCAACCTACATCTTTGTCAAAATCTTCCCTTTCTCCCTCTGGGGAATACTGATTTGCTGTTGGTCTGTGTCACCAAATTAAACAGCTGCTGCTGCCCTTGCCACTGGTTCAGAGAGGAAATAAATCTGTACCTCCCTCCGCACTTAAAAGCCAGGCAGTCTTTACTGCAACGCAGGATGCCAGCAAGGTGGGAAGGTAGCAGGAGTAAGTAATAGGCAGAAAGACTAAGTTCTTTTGTTTTGGAGGCAGAGGAGGCATGTAGAAATTATTACAGTGAGCAGCACAGCAGATCTCATAAATCCTTTCTGGGGTTCCATCACAGTGATGTCAGGCAGAAGGTTTCCTTTAAAATTCTATATTTCTGTTTGGTATGTATCTGTTAATGTACGTTGGACACTACAAAGACAGTAAATCTCCAGAGGTGCAAGTCCAGGAGGCTCTGTCAAAACCACTTAGTTCTACCCATCTTTATGTTCAGAATTCCTTTCCTTAATATTTTTTGCTTTAGTTTTGTGCATTATGATAACTAATATTTATTCATGGGACAACGTAAGAAAGATGTGCATTACTTTCTAGTTTTCCCTTTATGAAAGCCAGGAATCATTTATCTGTGTGCTACTTCAGTATACATTTAGTACAGTGTTCTTAGTTTGAGTACAAGATGGCCTGAGGTTGAAGAATGAGTGCAAGACCTTAGCAAATCTTACCAACATCTTTCCAACATCAGTATGTGATAGTATATAAAAAATAAACCAAACAAAAAACATCATAGCAAACCCTTAGGAAAATGAAACACTCTACATATTTTTCTTCCTTATAGGCAAGTATTAGTTGAGCCATAGCAGATGTTTAGACATTACAGAAATGAATGTCATATTAAGAGAGATATATTGTCTGTGCATCCTATGTAAACTCTTCCAAACAAGCCAGGATATTATCCTGACTCCTTTAGAAATTCAAATCTAAAGAAGCAATTCTTTAATTCTTGAGAGACTATTCATGTCTAAAAAAATCTTATTAATAATATGTTCTACCCATCATCATTTCATCCCATTGCTCTGAAGATCATTTCTGTTTCTAAAATGTGCTATTTGCTAAAGTTTGGGCCTATTTTGTTAAACAATCACTATTCTTATATGCACTTCTTTACTATTCTCCCTTAATTAAAGTTTTTAATTTGTCAAATATGTAGGTGAATCGTTGCAGTCATGTCACAGTGAGCGACATGTTTTGATATTAGATTGCAGTGGACTGAATTTCTTTGACTATACCGGAGTCTCAGTGCTGCTTCAGGTATTTATGACATCACACAAATTCTGTACATAGAAATATAATTTACATGTATGAGTAATTGGGGCCAACTACTAATCACCTCACCTATACTGGTAGATAAACATGTCATTTGTGGAAAATATGAACACAGATTTCATATTAAACTAGAATGTGTTCATATTTAAAATTATATTAAAAGTCATTCTAAAGATGGTAGGTGACATTCAGTGTAAATGTAAGTATCTGTATGTAATGGAGAAAAGGACCAGGAGGTGTTGGTTGATGGCCAGCTATGTATGAGCCAGTAGTGTGCCGAGGCAGCCAAGAAGGCCAACAGCATCCTGGACTGTATCACAAATAGCGTGGCTAGCAGCAGTAGGTCAGTGATAATTCCCCTGTACTTTGCACTGTTGAGACCACACCTTGAATACTGTGTTCACTTTTGGGCCTGCCACTACAAGAATGACATTGAGTTGCTGGAGCAGGTCTAGAGAAGGGCAACGGAGCTGGTGAAGGGTCTGGAGCACACGTGTGATGAGGAGCAGCTGAGGGAACTGGGGGAGTTTAGTCTGGAGGAAAGGAGACTCAGGGGGAACTTTATCACTCTCTACAACTAACTGAAAGGAGGCTGTAGCAAGGTGGGGGTCAGTCTCTTCTCCCAAGTAACAAGCGACAGGACAAGAGGAAGTGGCCTCAAGTGTGCCAGGGGAGATTTAGACTTGATGTTAAGAAAAATTTCTTTACCAAAAGGATTGTCAACCCTGGGACAGGCTGCCCAGGAAGTGGTTTGGTCACCATCCTAGAGGTATTTAAAAGACATGTAGACATGGCACTTAGGGACATGGTTTAGTGGTGGACTTGGCAGTGCTGGGTTACTGGTTGGACTTGATGTTCTTAATGGTGTTTTCAAGCCTAAATGGGTCTGTATCTCCAATAATCAGTGGTTCTATATAGTAGATAAAAAATTATGCTCATAAGCTATTTCTTATGTTTCCATTGGGTCTGGCATTTAATAGTTGTGCAGTGGGTACAGATTTAAGTGGATATGCAAAGTTTGGTTCATAAAATTTTTTTGAGTAAAATAGAAGACTAGGTTTGAAATTAGGTCTCAGTCCACTGTTTCCAAAAGATTTTAGAGACCTCAGAACTAACTACAAGTTATGTCAAAGAAGTATTTGATGATAAGAGGTAAGTTTGGGAGCACAATGTCTGAGTGAATGACTGGTCCAAAACCAAGTTACTCAGAGGAGAAATGTACTCAACATGTACTTGTTACATTCTTTCCCTGCTGCTAAGGTTGGAGGGATTTTTATACTTATTTGGACTTTCGATTTGTTTTTAAAATAGGGTATTCTGACTTGTTTCTCATTTAATATCTCCTCTCAGAATTGTCCCACTTTACATGGATTACTTTACTTAAACATTTTTTGAAGCGAGGTCTGCTTTGGATGTTCCTTATCCACCAGAAAAAGACCTTACTCTGATTATAGGATTATTTTCGGATATTTTTACTTTCTAGCTTATTGAATGTTTAGTCTCTGTGAAGTTGAACATTTTTAAAGAAAGAATAGAGAACAACTTTCTGCAGATAGACTGCTGGAAGTCTCAAAGTTTCCTAGGTCTGATTCCTGTCTTTGTAGGTAAGCATATGGAGAGGAGGTGGGAAAACTTGCTGAAAAAAGGAGAACTGTGAAAAAAACCTCCTAAAAAATAGTAAAAAATACAAAATTGTTGATCAAAGTCGGATTTAATTCTCAGCAGAGCTCTAAAGTACTGTGAGGCGGGGGGGAGAAAATTAGTGTGGGTTTGTGGTGTTACTACTGTAGAAGAGCCCACTCTGGTGGCCACTGGCAGTATAGCTTCAACAGCAGCACCCATTCTCTGCCTGCTTTGAATAACATCTTGCATATTTTATTCTCTCTTGGTATTTTAAACAGGGTTTTTCTCTAATTTCATGTTTTCACACGTATAGATTTACATGGACTGTAAAAGTAGACACATCGATGTGTTGCTAGCACACTGCAAAGGCAAGTATCAGCTTAACAGCAAAACTCTTAACTTGGTGGTTTATATATCCTCACTACCTTACCAATGCTCACATTTGTTTTATTGCAGCTTCCTTGATAAAAGCAATGCAGTACGGTGGAAATCTTGAATCTGAAACTCCTGTCTTCTTTGAATCTGTTTCTTCAGCAATCGATGCCATTCAGAGTCACAGGGTGAGACTTACGGCAGGGGTAGGTGTTGTCTGGAGGGCTTCTTGGATGCTCATAGCAATTTGTTAACGTCTGGGGAAATCTTATTTACCCAGTAAACTATTTGTGTAGAAATCTGTTATCTGTCTGTTATCTACAAGTGGTCCTTAGCCTCTGGACTGCAGTTACCAAGTTTTTCCTGCTAGCCCTCTCTTCCTGTCACCTTCTCTCCTTTAGCAACAACTTTTCGGTCTGCTACGCTAGATCCAGAGGCGCTGTGCTGTAGTGCATTAATGCGGGTGCATTCTCCACTGGAAAGCGTAATGTCATCTAGAAAGCCTTAACACAGCTTCTCAGTGAGGCAAATTAAATTACATCCTGTTCTGTATTACTGAAACTACACTCTTCCATTCCTCAGCCTGGATTTCTTAAAGCTACTTCTCACAGCACCACACTGTTGTGACTGAAAGGCTTTTGGATCCTGAGCAAGTTTGTTTCAAGCTAATAAGCTTGCCTGTACCCTGCACTGTAGTGTGCTGTATTAGCTCACTGGTAGAAAGAGGGGAAAGAAAGAAAAGGAGAGGGAGAGGAAGGCTTGGTTCAGAAATTGAGGCTTGAGGCTTGAACATACTTTTGCTTGAACACGTATTTACTTGCTCAGTAATTCTTGCATTCCCTGTTTAAAAGCCTGGGCTTTCCTCATAAACCATGTGAGCTTTTTCCATTGTAATCCCAGCGTAACTGAACGTGCATTACAAGTAGTGTGCTTTCCTTTCCCATGGTTCTATTTACAATTCCAAACATGGCTAGAGCTTGGCTCAGAGCCTTCTCCAAGAGACATTAAAGTCATGATGGTCTGTGGTTTTGGGTTTTTTCCTCCACATTATATTTTACTAATTAAATTAGAGTTGCCTATGGACAAAATCACTTTCCATTGATTTATCCAGACAAGGTAAGTTGGCACAGTTGGTCTAGTGGGTTGACCAGAAAAACATGTTCTATTCAGAGCTTTTCATCATTTCTCATTTTGTTGCCCTGCAAAAAAAATAATTTACTGAAATAGTAACTGCAGGGTAAAAATAGTGGGGATGGCTATTGTATATTTTGCCTGGGTCTGATTAGATGAATTAGGATGATTGTTGTGTTATAAAATGTCTGCATTTTTTATAGGCATTAATTAACCTTCCTAACATTCTTGTAAGACAGTCATGTACTAGCATTCTCATTTTATGGGAATAGGACATGGACAGACCAGGACAAATGTTCAAAGTGAAAAGGGGGAGTTAGAGCTCAGAAGCCCGCTTCTTTAGGAACTGATCCTATGTTTTACCAGAGCTGCTAAGGAAATCAAAACTCTGAATAGTGGCTTAGTGGATTAGTCTGAGGCACGCAGCCTCAAATTTTAAATGTAATCATAAACAGTCTCTATGTAATTCTGATGTTTCTTCAGAGTATTCAACACATGTGCTTTGCGTTTTTTTAAATGCATTCCTTATGTTTAACACCTGAAAATAAGATGAACAGGAATAGAAAGGCAGGGTGACTGCAATAGGAGTACCACACTGTAACTAACATAGATGATCTATCTACTCTTCTTCTGCCTTTTTAAGATGCTGAGGTGGGAAGGTATTTTGAGTGTTTACATGAAGGAAAAATGGCAGAATAAGATGTGATGGGATGGAAAAGGGGGTGGGAGAAGAAAGGAGAGAGGAAAAGAGAGACGAGAAGGAGGAGAAAAGGAGAGAAGAAGGAAGAGAAGAGAGGAGAGGAGAGGAGAGGAGAGGGGAGGGAGAGGAGAGGAGAGGAGAGGAGAGGAGAGGAGAGGAGAGGAGAGGAGAGGAGAGGAGAGGAGGGGAGAGGAGAAAAAGAAAAAAGAGTAGAAGGAAGGACTTAGATATTTATGGAAAGTCATTCATTCTTATTTAGGTTCCAGTTTCCACCCCACTTCAGGAAATAGTCTTTCACAGGCAGAAAGGTAGCTGCAAAGGGCTTTATGGTTCCTTTTCATCTCTGCTGCTGTTTGTAAATGCGAAGGTGCTCTTACCTATGTCCTTCAAGGATAATGTCATGTAATTCTCATTTTTATGTTGAGCAGTTCTTAAGAAACTCATATGTTGCTTTATGCAGCTCATCCTCTTCATAAATAAGTTTTTGATTTATTAATTTTTATAATGGTGGCATTTTCAAGCTAGCACTGCTTCATCTGCTAATACTGCATTATGTTCTAGGAAAACATTATAATGCTTTTTTTTTCCCCTGTTTCTCCCAATTTAGAATTACAGCAAGTTCAGTGAACAAAGTGAAGTGTGATGTCAACCCATTGAATATGGATAGTGTCATCTGCTCATATTCAGAATTAACTACACCATGGTTTCTCCTTAGCTTTTTTCTCCATAGGATCTCATAGATTATCTTTTGTATGACATATATATTTACTACATTCAGTAATGACAGATCTGCCATTCAGAAAAAAAAAATCTTTCAACTGCCATCACACAGAGAATGTTCATGCAAATGTTCTATACTAGGCTTATATAGTATTTTTAAATACATTTAGATACAAATTATTAGAAAGCAGACATGATGTACAGACTGTGTTTACCAGTGAGGTATATTCTTTTAGATATCTTCTATTGTAACATTAGTTGTAATATGCATCTGTAGTTTTGTGTATGGAATAGAGACATTATGAATTCTTAAAAACAGTGTGTTATACTTGCTACAGTATATGCAGGAAGCCATATACCAGTGTTGAGACTAATGGCTTTACTTACTCTTTCTTCTGCTCAAGACAGCCATTTGCAATAGCAGCATCCTATCACAGCTGTCATACGCTTCCATTTTTTGTACTTGGTTTTGCATGCTTTTTAATGCCTGCAAAGGTCAGTTGGAGCACTGCATGTTCAGAGAATGCAGATGTATGCTGGCTAAATGCACTGGCTTGTCTCTCCCTCCAGAAATTGTCAAAAGTTATTATTACTATGGTTTGCTACATTTTCAAAGCCACAGGTATTCTTTAGCTCAGATCAAAGAGGAAAAACTAGCAGCATTTTCCCAAAACTTGTTCTTGTTTCCAGCATAGAGTAGTCTGCATTTCCAGTTTGAGCTGTGATTTGTTTGGTGCTTAAATCTTCAGCTGTGGCAGATGAGACATGACAGTGGAGACACGTGTGGCCACATTTCAGCCCCAATCCTGATGTGCAGTTCTGTGTGCAAGCACACAAATGGGCTGGAAGAATTCAAGGGTTGAGTATTTGGCTTGTAAGTATGTATTGCTATCAATCAGATTATGCTATCATATCAGTATCATGTTATATGGCAAGATGTATGACCTTTTTCCTTCTACCTTTGTTGCCATACATGAACATTAGCAGTAAAAAGTAAGTTGAGAAAAGCAAATAAAAAAAATGAGAAATGATGAGGAGGTAGGTTTTTTCCTTACTGACCTAAAAAGAACCTATGGAAGCTAAAAGGTAAATGAATATGGCACGGGCATAATGGCCAGGTTAGTACTACAGAGAGGAGAGAAGTACAAGGGTGCTTTGTGCAGCTGGAGTGTGTAGGCAAAATCTAATGCTAAGCATCCTGTTTCAGCAGCAGTTAATGTATCTGTGCTTGTCTGGACTCTGTCTGCCCAAAGCAGCTACCTGCAGTAGATGAGGTGGCCCATGGAGTGATTTTCACATCTCTGCATACTTGAGCTAAGGCATCGATAGGCTTTTCTTCTGATCTTGGTGATGTCACATTACTAGAAGATAATGGGAGAGAGACATGGCGGTTTTTACCCTTTCACATATAGGTGACTTTTGGAGTTATTTCCTACTTTGTCCCACAGATGACGAGAAGTGTTCTATACATGTTCTTCTGAGTCTGCTTTCATAATTACTATGCAAAGGGTTGATTAGTAACTGTGAGTTCTGTACATTGTCCCAGGTATGTTCATTTTGGAGGCTGTAGTTCATTGCAAATGACTTAGTACATCCTTGGACTCAGGAACAGGCTATAAGATTTGATTAACAACTTCCTCAATCAGTTTTAGTAATTTATTAACACTTTAAAAACTATTTACAATGTATTTTAATTGTAGAAGCATCAATTTATGTCACAGCTGAATGGAGATCTCTACTTAACTACAAAATGAATGAATAAATGGTATCTTTTCTACTATGTTCAGTATTTATTCTTTGACAGTTAAAAGTTTTGTTTGTTTTTTTTCCCTGAAAATTTACAGACAAATTGATTAATGAAATTATTAAAAGTAGGGTCTTTAACAAAGATAACATCTACCAGGAGACTTTTGGTTTTGTTCTGAATGATCTTGTAAATGGAAGCACAGAGATACTTTTAAAATTCTTTGTAGCCCTTAATGAAACCCTGTGCATCTCCGCATCAAATTAACAAAATGGCTTCTAACTTCCACTGCTTTCAATAGGCATAACTTTCCACAGCTAAATCGCTTTTTTGGGTAGACATTTATTTCCCATCAGTTCAAAGACCTTGTTATGGCACAGTGTCATTTTAAAAAGGATTTCATCAGTGTAAGACTTTCAAAAAGTCTTATTGCTGTGATTATGGTTTGATTGTCTCTCAGGGCAGAATCAGGGATTAAATACCTTTCTTCCCTTAAAACATTTAATCATAACTCTAAATTTCCTAATCTTTCAGCTCTGGGCTTTGGGATACTTGTAATACTCCTGTACCTGTACCTTATACAATTAGCCTGAATTTCTTTCTATTTTCAAGAATACACTTTTCTAACTAGACTCCTTCTCCAGAAAGTGTTACCACTTAAGATAGCTGTTGTTCAATGGAACAGAGCGTTCAAGGGACCCATTGAAGACAGCCACTCTCGATTGCTTCTGAACCACCTGTAATGAGCTTAAGCTCTGTTGGACCAGAACTGCTTTACAGAACAACCATGGTTCTGTAACCATGGTTACCAACCAGTAACCATGACTGGGTGAGGGACAGTCATTTCTTTTTTTTACCATTGACCTAGAAGGGCAAATCACTACTGATGCAGTTTCCATTCCACCACCACCACTCCCCTGAGCTGTTGATGTTTACTAAAACTGGTGATTGCACATTGCCTGTCTTCAAATGACCAGAATGCCATGCCATCAGATCTCATGCACTGGTGACTAACCACCAGGGGTTTGCTGGTCACTCAGCTGATGGTCTGGGAGTTGCTTAGCCTCTTGCCTGAGATGCTCTCTGCAAATCTCTGGTGATGGTGTGTTTGCCTCACTTGCTTCACAAACTGGCAATTGCCAACAACAACTGCTCAATTCTTTGATTTAAGGAAACACCCTAAATCTTCTAGATTAAGTTTTGGAGTTTACAATCAATTTCAGTCCTTTCCTCAGTGCTTCTCTGTATAGACCATCCACTGGCTTACCTCTGGTTCTCAGGAAAAATTACTACGTAAACATATAGGAATTTAACCCAAACCATCCCACATAGCTTAAATAGAATAGAATAGAACAGAGCAGAACAGAACAGAACAGAATAACATATTTCAATTGAAAGGGGCCTACAACTATCATCTACTTCAAATACAACTATTATAAATAATAGAGTATTACAAAATAGAATAGAATAAACCACATGTATTCTTCTGATTCAGAAGGGTGAAATAAACCAAACTCACCCTGCAGCAAAGAAACTGCACGAAGTCTGTTTCTCCTTACAGTGGTGCAGGTCCTGGTCTTGCTGTCCACACTGAGGTGGGGTTTAATTATTATGGCCTCCTGAGGTAGACATTCATCTTTGTACCTTTCAGCCTTATTTTCTTGAACATCTCTGGAAAATTTTCAGAATAATGTGAAGTTTTATTAACTATGCTTGCATACCTAAGCTTGTGCACTGCTAGTAAAAAAGGCACAGTCCTGCAAAGTCACCCTGTTCTTACTGATTTCTAAAGGTGTGAGAAAAAGATGACACTCTCCAGCAGAGGCTAAAGGAAGTCTCTTATTCAGTAATGGATTTCAACTGATGAAACCAAAGAGTTTTGTACTCTGAATAGTAAGCAATTCTGAAAATCTAACCATTTACTTTGATTCCTATATGTATACTTAGGTGCTCAGATGTTACGTTCCTAAATTCAAAATGTATGAGTTGTCTAGCTTATGAAAATAAATGATTCAGTTTTTGCACATTTTGGTGTATTCTGCGCTTCACTGAGAAACATTAATATGGGATTGTTTTCAAGAGATGGTCCAGTATTTTCAGACATGTTATATTTGCTTGATATGTTTAGGAATTTTTAGCTAGTTTTAGGAATTAGTTCTAAATGTTAGATAGTACATTATGTGAATTTAAGGTGTGTTAATCAGAGTATATTAAAATCTGGATGTGATCGTATGTTTCTTACAGAAGTTGTGTATCATATGTTCCAAAACAAAGTGAGCAATGAGGAAAAACAATAGAGTGCATACTCATGTTAAGAAATGAATATAGTGACAATTTAAAATTAGGCATAAAATATGTAATAAGGAAAAGACTGTTAACATTACATTTATGCAAATTAAATGTTTCTTATTCTCATCATATGTCTTTCATTTGAAAGGTTATTTGCCCCAATTCTATGATTCAGGTGTCACAAGGTCTGGTTTTAGCTGCTTTGACGTAATTTATATGACAGCTCCCTGTGTCATAAATATATAATGTAACAAGGAAAGGTATCTTCATTGTTGAATGAAAACATTAATGCATCAATGCTGTGTCTGTATATGGTCTGACATTTACTAGTTACAAAAATAAAATATACAATATGCCTTGAAAATATGGCACTCCTATTTTGGGGAGATACTTTCTTTGTCTACAGAAAGTAGTATCATAAATAAATGAAGTGCAGTTCCAGAGAGGATGCTAAGTGGTGCTTTCATCATTAAGATGGATTTTTAGTAAAGATCACATAATCTGTATGTTTCCATATGTTTCACAATGCATTTAATTATTTTTTCTTGTTTCAATTCTGTGTATTAGCATATGCTGCAATAAATTTATACAGAAATGTATTGGAATATGAGACAATTTACATGTAGAAGGAGGATAATGCCATCATTATTTCGATACTTAGCAGCTGATTTTTTTTACATTCTGTACTAACCAGTCTGTGATGAGATATGTTGCCTTCTTCAACCTCAAAACATATTCAATTTTAACAACAAAAGAGGAGAAATTCCATTACATTCAGAAGTTTGATTTCCTCATAGTTCGTAGGGGAGTATGGCATCTAACAGACATTTTTACCTCTGTAAGAGATAGAGAAATCTTGCGCCAATTTTTCCAGTATTGCCTCTATGCAT